TTTATTAATTTATGAAATTTTAAGTATAGGTTACCATTTGAAAATCAAAAGTTGATAGTGGTTTATCTAATAAATATAAGGGTAAAAAATATAAAAATAAATAAACGATTCTAGAAGAGTGTAAATCTACAATTTTGAAAAAAAAAGTCAATACTTTTTTAAATAATGAGTGTTGTTTGATAAAAGAATCACTCTGTATATATTTTGGCTTTGAATAATATTTCGTATAAGAACATAATAATATTATGGACACATAATACTCTTTGCATTTAATAATAATATTATTATTGTTACCGAAGACTGAACAGCGACACCGGGGTGCATGTTCAACACGTGTTCGTATAGCTGTTCGTACATGCCAACCCACTGRCACAAGCCCACCTGACACTTCACACCCGCTACATACCGGCACACGGATTCGTGTTCGCTGACGTGAAGCACGGGTACCAGCTCGGGACATCCTAATGACTGGTTGGAGCATGCCACCTTCACCGATCTTGACACCTCGACCAGTTTTTTGACAATGGCCGACATGCTCACGGATTGCTCCATCGACGTCCGGCACAACGGACACAGGGTGTTGCGAGTATGGTCGGTGTTGAACAGCGTCTGCATGCATGGCTGACACACTGCATGCCCATTAGGGCAAAAGCACGACATGGCCGACATCAGGGTCAAACATATTGGGCATTCCAGGGCGCAGTTGATCTGTCGGGAGATGGCTATAATCTCAGTGGTCTCGGATGCCGGCGGCGTAACGGAAGTCGTCGATTCTACCAGAGATGGTGTAGCGATTCCATCTGCCGTTTCTTCCGCTGACGTTGCCACCAACGTCCTCGCAGTCGAAGCTRTCTCACGCGTTTCCGTCGAAGTAGTCGCCTCTGCCGCCACCAGAGTTGACATCACGACCACGTGAAGTTAACCCCACTGCAGCAACTAAAGAAACAGCGTGGGCTTTCGTTTCACGTATCGCTTACGATAATCTACGAGTATATATTTTAATCAGCGACACAAATCTTATCATTTTGTTTATTAATTGCATTACAATTGCATGTATTTATTTTAAGCAATCTAGTTGCCAAGCCTTTTGTTTGTCAGGACAAATTTTTTCAACAATAATAATATTATTCATTATTAGTAGATTAATAATTCTATTTTTCTCATAGTTATCGTTTCATTATAAACCAATACAAAAGTACATACTCATGCTTAATTTTATTGTTATTAGGATATTTATGATTCAAGTGTCAACCACAGTATATTGCGTAATATTTTGCATATTATATCAAGGTCAGATAATCGATACTGTGTAATAAGTTGCTTTAAAAATTACTCAATGTCTATATTATAATAGAAACATGTTTTGTTTAAATATCAAATTTTCGTTTTGGCCAAAAAAAACCAAAAATCTAAATACATATTAAAAGTTTTTTTATACATATCTATTTTAAGTTCAAATATAGACGAAATCATATATGTATATATAAGTACTTATAAAGATTAACTATTTAAATGAAGAGTAACGAATTAAAATTTTTTTTTTATTTAAAAATATTATTCGTGGGTACTTGAAACTTTTAAATTATATTATTATATTTTATGGGATTGATTACATTTTAAAATGCAATGTTTTGCTAAAAAAATCAATTCAATAACTGACGTTTACACTACGAATATTTAAATATACTTAGTAATATAAGCTGATAGACGGTTTTCTCAGAATAGTTGTTCGTATTCAATGATTTTACATCATTATACCATTGAATTCAAAATTAACATACCCATTACTGTGACACACAAGGCACTAATAATGCACAGTGGTGCATCTCAACTTGCATCCATTTTTTTCCAATAATTTAAAAAATAACTAAAAATGTTTAGTTTTGACTATATTCACTTCCTTTTCATTATAGATCTCGATGTGGACATCAAATTGTATTATAATTTCTAAGATACATAATATTGCATATGGTATGCTAGTATTTTCATTTTAATACTTCATACATTCCTATACTTGAGTATGTGGATGTGTAATTTGTAACCAGCCTCCATCTATGACCGGCATTTGATTGAATAAGTTCATAATATTATCTATTTTTAAATCTACCCCTCCTATACCAAACATAACTGGTAGTCTGTCATTGACTAAATGTCAGCAAATTCTCTACTTATTTCCAGGCTCAATTCCAACTATTTTGATTCCTCTTCTATTCAANCTGTATGATGATCTGGGTCAGTTTGATTCATAAAATCACTATCGGTTCTTTTATTAAATTCAGTTTCAGTAAAACATACTGAATTTATATATTCCCCTTCTAAGGTGCACTTCGAACAAGATGAATAACCACTATGGCCTTTTATAAACAAGACACTTGCCTTAGCTACAGCATCAAATAAAAACATGACAATTTTGAACATTATATTTGATATATTAGCAATTGACTTTAAATTATTATAGGTACAAAAAAATTTTCAACTATCGAAATAGTATATTATATTTATACCTGTCTCTTCCAGGCCCCCGGGAGAAACCTCTGTTGTCTATTATTATCGTCGCCTATTAATTAACCCATTAATATAAAAATAAAAAACACAAATGCCTGGTCAGCCTAGTCAATACCGTTGATGTAGACACATAAGGTACCACTATAGTTTAAAGWGTTTTAAATATAATTATATTACACAATAGCAAACAATAACAAATGTGTTGAGTCTATTATTCAAACCATCCCAACTACATAGCTCCATTAGAAATTGTAAGTCAAGCAGCGTTGAGAAACACATAAGCATGAATTTTTTTAAGTGAAACATTTTGTAGACACGTCAGAGTAATCTGATTCATGGGTTCAACCATTGCGACCAAAAATCGTTTAGGGCGTAGCTTATTTGGAYCCAACCAATCACCAYCGTACACCATACAGTAGTGCATTGTTACAAGACGGATACAAAAGTAAGTCTGTGCAAAATCTTCATGCAAATACAAAAACTGTTTTGTTCATATTTACATCTATGGTAATAAGATAATTAAATCACTGAAAAGGGAATTCACTCGTATACTCAAGTAATCGGTGCATAAGCGAATTTAGATCAAAATATCTCAATTAATCTTTTTTTTTTTTACACAAATTAGTATATCACATTTTACTTTATAATACAATGAAAATCAAATTATTTAATTACATAAATATGCCTACCATAATGTAATATTAATTAATTATATTAATTACGTTTGTTGCAATAGTATCACAAAATTTAAAGTTTTCTACAAAAAATTATCTCAAATATTAAATTATAAAATAAGCTCATAAAATTAATTCAACCTACGTATTTTTTCMTAATAAAATTAGCGATAGCATTTAAAAAATTTGAAACGTCCCTACTGTCATTATGTAATTTTTTAAATTTTTATTGGTAGATATTKAGACTAATGTTTGTGCAGTGTATTTTGAGATATTATTATTACAAACGTAATTTATTTCATTAATTTTACGAGCTGATTAAATAACTTGATATTTCAGATAATTTTATTAGAAATTAAAGTGTAATCTACTATTTTATTTTTTTTAATGGATAAATTTGGATATTTTGTCCTTTCATATTTTGATCGATTACTAAAAAATATAGAATCACTACATAAAGGTATTATACTAATAAATTACGATGCGTTTAAGTTATCTCCACGAATCAAATTATTCTTAATTTTCAATAAATAATTTGAATGATTACTAGAAGGTAGATAAGTAAAATATAGTTAACATATTTATAGCGACGAATTACTATTGAGTTGGTTTCATTAGTAAATATAAATGACGCACGTCAGTGTATATGCAACAGTGCAACACAAGATAGGTACAGTGTTTTCTTCAACACGTAATAATGTAAGAGATAAGCATAAAAGCATATTTTTTTAACACACCACAGAATAATATTAAAACGTCATATTTCCTTTTTAAATTATTTTAATTAGTGGTATAAAATGAAAGCGTACTAGTTCACTACACGTAGAGAAATATTAATGACTGGACGTTGTTAAAGGATGAAGTGGTAGTGTAACGGGAAGTTATTACAGTGCTATTCAAATATCGACTTAAATTAAAAGAGACAAAAGAATTTTAGATTAAACAGAATTTGATGACGTGGACAGTTGACGACAAAAATGAAAAATCTACTACTGCCATCCCATCGGGTTACCCAAATTATTTATAAATAGTTTTTACCTTGACAGTTCTTTGATGTCATTCACACCCTTTATTGAATGAGTGACACCGTATTTATTTCACGTATTTGGGTGCATATTCAGTGCAGATTTTACCTTTAGTGACTTTTCAATGAATAATATTTACATCAAGTGTCTRAGGGATTTAGTAACTATCGTAATACTTTCATTACACAAGACACGCAAGCATTAAAGTTTGGATTTTCTTATGTTGGAAAAACAATTATTCCCTAATTGGTGGACTTATTTAATTTGTGGTTTTGTAACAGTGTAAGGAAACCTGTTACATAATATAGTATAGGGAATTCAATGAGAGTTTTCTGTGCCTCTCTGAATAATAATTTTATCCATKGTCATATTGATTTAAAATATATGGTTTAAATAAATTTTTCTAATTATTATCGATACATTTATTATTACACACAATGAAATCGAATATAATTGATTTCAAATGATTAACACTAAATTAATCATTCTAGGTCAGTTATTGAGGTGTTCACATAGAACCACCGAACTTGACAAGGTATGACTCATGTACGGTTATTGCATGATGTGTTTGTATTATCTATATGTATATTTTTATAACTAAAATATTTTATTCACTGTCCAGTAAGCGTTATTATATAGGTATAGATTACAGTATGTTTATAGTTTTTGAAATGTTTTCATACATAATACATTGTTTATAGTGTGGTAAATCCAGTAATTGGTACCTACAACAAAATCAGTATCGTATGTATTTTATCGAAGATTGTACTAAAATTGTACACAATACTAAATCGTTTACAAAGATCTCCTTGCTTCGTTTCCTACGGATGGCATCATTCTCTAGGACTTAGCATAAAAATCAATAGCCAAACGATTCAAGCCTTCCAATCTATTTGTCTACGTATCGTCGCAAACCTCCATAGTACGAAAAAAATGATTTACTCTACAACAACTTCTAAATCAAAACATCCATTATACAACTATCACCTCCTACAAAAGGTTCCACGGCAACTTCTCTCAAACTCCAAACCAACTCATCTCTTAAATTTCCTCAAATACCCTTCCCGAAAATACCACAAGATGCCTCAAATAAAATTATTGCAGAGATCTGCTTACCTTATATACCATATGCTTTTTCAGTATAATATTTATTGTGAAAGATGATTGGAATGCTAATCGTCCGTCATTCGCAGCCTGTATTATAAAATGTTTTCATCAAACTAACTTGTTACACATATGTAATTTATAGAAAAATGTACTTATTATTTAATCAATAAACGCCACYCYGTAAAAAAAAATACATACTACTGTAGAGCCTAAGTTACTATTCGTATTAATTTGAAATAACTTAAATCAATAAATAGTATAAAATAAACTAGTGATTCCTCAATTATTCACATAATTAACTTAAAAATTACAAGTGCATAAAATAAAGTTATATAAAGTAAGTTAATRTTTAGTTGATTTAAAAATTAGTTTATATTATTTTTTAAATTTAAACTAAATGAATCTACTATAAATCATGATATCATCATAAAATGGGCAATATGAAATATCTATATACGCAAATTCAAAATGCATATTTTCAGAAAAAATAACAACCAATTAATTAATATATTATTATTATATCTTTGTAACTCGTAAGTATTAAGCAAACCTGGTAGAACAAAATTAAATATTTTTCAATAATTTGTTATGC